TTCTTGAAAAGTTGCAAAAGAAATACAACAAGCTTGATTCATTCAACAAAGATGATAAAGATTTCATACTTTTTCTTCGAAATCGCGTGAACAATATAACTCATAAAAAAGCTAAATTTTACCAAACTATATTTGAAGTTCGTGAGGAAATCAGTAGACGCATAATTAAACTCAAAAAATATAAATCAACACGAGAAAAAGGCAGTGAATCAGACACAGAACCAAAATATACTAAAGACGAGTTGAAAAAAATTAAAATATTAGAGAAGGTTATAAAAGAATGCCGAAGAAGAATCAAAGAACTAGAAACAGCAGACGTAATCTTTGATGATGATGACGACTCAGCGTATTTAAAGGAAGATAGGTATAAAAGAAAATATGTACAGTTATGCCAAGCACTTAGTGATATAGCAAGAGATAAAAAACTAAAATCAGAAATAATGAAGAAAAAAATTACGTTGAATGATATCCAAGATGAAATGACCGGTATTAAGACCATTGATCAATCTATCATTAACTTTGTAAATATTAGTATTAGTCGGATGAACAAATTAAAACACATTCAGAACTTTAATGCTGTTCCGAATTATATTGTTCCACCCGACTTTTACGAAGTATTACAAATTATAGAAAAACATGACGAAACTCGGAACCTTCAATTTACTAAACAAGAAATAGAATTATATGGTAAGTGTATGAGTTGTTTTCGTTGATAATTACAACATTTATATATATATATATGTATATCTGTTATCTCATAATTAACGCTTTTTTAGCTAAAAATTCATTTAAAGCAGTTGTCAAGTATTTGAAAAAATGTCGAATACAGGAGTCTAAAGAATATTTTAAATGTTTTATCAATGACACCTGTGGTACATATATTGACCCAGCATCTAAAGACCATAACCTTGAAAAAGTTCTTCAGGCTAATAAGTTAAAATCGGATAAGCATTTAAATGAAGTTTTTGAGAAATATGTAAATATGCAAAAGAATTTAAGCAATGAAAAATTAAAAGAATCAATGACAGCCATGTATTCTTCTGAGGAAAGTTGTAATATAGATAATCATGAGAAACATCTAGTTAAGAAAAATTCACAAGTAGGTAAGCGAAAACGGTTCTTCCACAGTGACGAAGAAGAATCTGGTAAAGACAATAAGAATCATAACAGCCATGAAGATAAAGAAAAACCGACAAAAAAGATGAAGAAAAACGATGATTTAAAATGTCAAAACACAGCTTATGAAAATAATATAAAAGAAAAAGAAATTGAATGTATAGACCTTGGAGATAACTGCACGTCACCAGGTAGTACTCATCAAGTTGTAGTTTCCAACATATTTTCTAACCTCACAAATTATAATAAATCATAATCTTTATCTTTAAATTTCAGACTCTCCCACATTGGTAGACGATAATGCGAAGTATTTTCCCAGAATACGAGTGGCTAGTGTGGGCAACTTTCCCAAGGCTTGGGAGACCTCGGACTCTCCCGAAAGTCCGGGAAAAGAGTCCATGGATCTGGACTACTCACCAAAAAAAAATATTTTTCCACCAGTGGAAGTAGTGGATTTGTGTTCCCCAGAAAGAAGATCAAGTATTCAAGTGTCCAAGGTGCCTAACCCATTAGCAGTAAAAAATCAAAATTAAGAAAAAAATTGGTCTTCGAGATATCGATAGTCGACTAATGTGACAACATTTTGTAACAAAATGTGATTATACAATACCTTACAGACAATAGCCCTTGAAGAAAATATGAACCATAATGAAGTGGTGGAATAGCAATCGGCGATCATTTGAGAGTTAAGCTCACTCCGTAAGTTTGTTGTGTTTGCTTTTTTTTATATTTTTCTCTATTTTGTTGTAATATACATTTATTTATAAAGAGATGGAACATTTTCGTGTCTTGCTTGTAATAAGCTTTAAAATTAAATAAGAAGTTTTTTTCTTAATATTTCCCCCATTTTCTGCAAATTGTTTTCATTGCAAACGTTGGAAACATTAAATAATCATACTTAATTAGTTTTAAAAACGAACTTCAGCCTATCATGAAAGTTAAACTAGTCTTACGCCAAGGTAGCTTTACCAGAAACAAGTAGCACCTATCAGTGCTCCCCGGCAAATACATCGAAAATTTCTTTTAATTAAAATGTTTTGTACCTATAGAGTACATTATTTATTACAAATGCTAACTTGAGCACAAAATTTTAATAAATTCCCTTAGTTTCTCATGATTTATGTTACTCATTTAATGTTTTTTACGTTGTGTATAAGGATTTTCGATAGTAAAAAGTCATTCGTTGTAAGATTTTCTACTATGTCAAAGTGGTCGATATTGTTCCTCAGCAGTAAGAATTTGATATTATCTACAAATTGTATTAGTCTCTGTAAATAATAACAAATAATGCTTTTTTTTACTTTTTTATGTAATTTACGTTTAAAAGATGAAAAACAAGAAAAACGTTACTCACTCGTGCATATCGTTTGGATTCCTCGACAAAGATAGGGGAATCGCATTCCCCTACAGCTAGGATAACTTTTAAATTGCTTATACACTCTGAGTTGTTTTCTAATGTTTTCGATTCATCGATTGGAGCGAAAGTATACAAACTGATTTCTTCTCTAAAAATATAATTCATTAATTGTAATCAATGCTTAAGTGATTTTCGAGTATAGTTAGTGAATAAGTTATAAAGTATATAAGTTAATATATATTTTTTTACTTATTTTATTGATTTATTCGACTAGAGTATCAAAATATTCAAATTTAAGAGAAATGATAAATTGTCGCATGAAATTTCTCTCTCAGTGGTCATAAAAACATGCATGTTGTATAACGTGTCTAATCCAAGATTTATTAAACTTTTGATGATGTTTGGAATACAATTTTTAAGAATATACTCCCTGATGAAGCTATAATTAGCCTTATGCCAAAGTAACTACACTAGGAATAAATAGCATTAATAGGGCCTCCCAGCAAACACATAAAAAATTATTTTCATTTGACTCATTTTTTTCTCAAAAGTTATTTGTACGTAGGACAAGGGGTAGGTGTTTCTCGGCACGTTCCCGTTCTCTGTGTCCCACTTGAGCTTCCTACAGTTACGCCTTATGTGGCCAATCTTATTACAATAGTGGCAGGTCAACGGTCCTCGGTTAGGGGGTGACCCCCCGTGGGGATTGTTTCCCTGAGGCCCGCTGGTTTGATCGTTCGGGAATGTTGAGTTTGTCTAATCGTTGCGTGGCGGTCTGTACGGGTATTCGTTGTGGGGTTGGCTATTGCTGTTATGCGGGTGTTTGGCTTCATCTTTCAGCATTTCGCGTTCTGCTATCAGTGCGTTGTCGAACATCCTGCCTAGGCTGACGTTATTTTCGGGGCGAAATCTTTGCCGTAATGAAAACGGGATCCCGTCTTTCAATGCTTCGATTACATCACGGTCAATTTCTAAGGCTTCTTCGCTACAAAGTTCCCTATTTGTGTCAAGAGCTTTCCTGTCCACTAATGAGTCATGGATGTCACGCGTGTGGTTGATGTAATCTAACATTTTTTCGCGTTAGTTTTTGCGCAGTGCAGCCAGTTTGCCTCTTATTTGGTTCTGCGTGTCGTATGGATCGAAAAGTACCTTAAGGCGGGTGAGAAATTTGCTGAAGTCAGAAAACACTTGTTCTCCCATAACTACGTCTGCGCGGTCAGTGATTTCGCTCCGGGCTTGCCTAAAGAAGATCCTCTCGTAGGTGTCCCATACCTCCCCAATTAATTAATGACACCAAAGGGACATTTCACGGAAAAATCCGCCTGGTATGAACTTTCTCCGATGAAAACAGGTTGAGAGGAACATTTTTTACTAAAGGCTCTAACTATGCCCATGGTATGATAAATATGCCATCAATTAGGTGACTGGATAATGGGGGCAGCAATATACCCCTACACAGTGGTAGTGAGTAGGTGGCTCCAGCGATAAAGCCAGTATGGACTGTCGCAGTAACCCGGAAGAAAAAAAGTTATAGACAAAACGATACGTATTAATGATTTTATAAAAGAAATAGGGGGGGGGGGCATTGGGTGATATTTGTCCCTGGTAAAGCTACTTTGACGTGAGACTAGTTTTAGCTCCATTATAACGTGGACGTCATTTTTTGAATCAATTGAGTATTATTATAATATTACATGTGTAAAATATTTCCAACGTTTGCAATGAAAGTAACTGGTAAAAAGCGAAGAAAGTGTGGAAAAAAAAACTTCTGATAAAGTTTTAAGGAATCTTGTCATGAATAACTGTATGTTGTGAAGAAATACGAAAAAAAATTCAAAGAAAAAGCAGCAGCAATAAACTTACGGAGTAAGCTTAACGGCCTCGTTGACACTTAAAGAAAGCACCGGTTTCAAATCGTAAATTCCGCCAATGAGTACAAGACCCTTAAGCAGCTATAGACAACTGTGCTTTGAAGCTCGCCATTTGTGGTCGTGCAGCAAACTTGCTGCGAGATGAGCACCAGCACTATGACCTCCAAGCCAGATACATCTGTACGGGGCACGATTTAAGATTATTTACCTTTACAGACATCCGTGCCTTGAAGCTCGCCACTTGTGCTGAGCTAAATATCGACAGAATGGCTGTATGAAAAAAAAAGTTTAATAATCGATAAACCTTTTATCATTGTCTATCTTTTTTTGCGGTCAATGTTTTACAAGGCAGCTGTTTAAGATTAACTTATTGGCCTTTGATTGAGATTCTTTCTGGGAAGAAGAAAGAACTCTTTTACAACTACTGATTACACAATTGTCTTTTCGTCAAAAGTTTTGACTATAAAAAAAAGTTGAACGTCAGGTTCTGTAAGTTATCATGTAAATATGTAAATAGTTCGAAAAAAAAGAATCAATTCCTATTGTACAGAGATTAATGTAATTATTCTGATGTAAACAAATTGTATATATTTTACTATATTTACTTAGATTTTAAAGACAGAGCCAGAATTATAATTTTTTCAACCAGTAATTTTATTTGCTGCACAATATCGGTTAATCTTACTAAAATAGAAAATATAATTTGTTAATAGATGTAGTAGTTAAGAATGTATTATTTACCTTTTTTTAATTTAATGTTTAAAATTATTCAAACTCATTTTATAGATAAGTTTCCACGATTTAAAAATATATTAAAACGCTTACTGTTTACTTTTTATGAAAAGCAAATAAACTTTTTATTAATAATACCACTTGTTGTCTCTTATATATTTAAAATTCTTACATCACATCACAAGTAAATACGAAAAAGTAAATAAAAAAATATCGGCTCACCGTTTGGACACAAGTCATAACCAGCTGCAACAACTTTAATCTCATGGGCCACGAAATTTGGGACCGCAAAACCCGACAAGTCCTTGCTGAACTCCATCTAATAGATGCCGTGAATGAATATAAAAATCAGTGCATCTAAAAGCGTTTAAAAATATTACCTATAACCACCGAAAAATCAAAATCTACGATCACTTGAACACTGAATCACAAAAACTTTTTTTTACCATCCGGAAGATCGGTTCCGTATATATCGTACTCGGCACGCTCAGATGATCCATATGGTACGTTCAGCTTGTGCGCTATTGACGAGCAAGTTTTTCTCGTAACTACGAAGTCAAAGAACCCACGCGCGTTAAATTAAAATACTTTTTTTTAAAAAGCAGAGCTACGGCTTACCATTTTCACAAGATTTGAGGAACCAAGCTTGCAACTCTATCGGACCGTAACTCTTGCTCCAATTGCTCGGCATGTAATTGAACTCGTGGTCCTGCAAAAATCGATCATTTTTAAAATCTTTTGACCTGCTAATAAATAAATAAATAGTAACCTTATGGGCCTGATGCACTTACTGGTGTGAGGGACTGCATTTTTATTTAGTTGCTTCTAGGTTCCTTTCGAAAAAAAGGAAAAAAAAAAAAAAAAAAAAAAAAAAAAAAAAAAAAAACGGTTCTTGTCTCTGGTTTTATAGAGAACAAAGCCAACAGTTTATTTAAAGCTCCGTAGTATCTTACCATGCACACGTCACTGAGCAACTACAGGGACGCTTTTTGCTCCGTGGTTGCCTTCTTTCTCCGGCTTCTTCCTGGCGTATACGCTTGTACACCCAGGGCAATGTGATTCTTTCCCGGCGCTGACCCCAAATGGCAACATCGCACATTGATTGTACTTGGTCGATCCGAGATGGCGTTAGTTCTGCAGGGCAGCTGGAGTTATCAGCGTTGGGTGAAGAGGATTCCCGCAATAAAAATTACGGTCAGTAACATGAAAGTTACTGTCACTAACAGACCAATCTATAGAGTGTTGGAGAAGCGAATGAGCAAAGAAGGAGGAGGCATTCCAGAGGTTCTCACCGGTGCTCCAAAATGTGACTGGCAAACATGTGAGAAATAACACAAGCGCCAGTCCCCACACAACCCGGTGCGCTTACTGGCCTCTTTGTTTAATAATTAAATCAATAAAATACCACAAGCGCCAATCTCCACACCACCCGGAGCGCTTACTGGTCTCTTTATTTATTTAAAATGAATTGAATAAAACATGTTCCAATTACAACACAACCTGGAAAGCCAACTGGTCCCGTTATTTTTTTTAAATAAATATAATGATAAGACATGCGCCAATCCCCACACAACTCGGAGCGCTTACCGGTCCCTTTATCTATTAAAAATAAATTGAATAAAACAAGCGCCAATCCCCACACAACCTGGAGCGCTTACAGGTCCCTTTATTTTTCTAAAATCAATATAATGATAACACAAGCGCC